AAAGTCATATTCATCTAGTCGCCTAATGCAAGTGGTCGAATTCGATGGAATGAGTGGCAATGTAACTACTCATGTAAAGGATCCAACATCATATGCACCTTGTTTTAATGTTAGATGGTTGGAGATAGTGTTTTGGGAAACTCTTTAGCGGGATTGGATAACTACGATACATCAGTCAATATTGAATGATCAATGAATATTAATGTTCTAGTTCCGTGGTATTTTAGTCGCCACAGAATAGTGCAGCGATTAACGTCACAGACTACGGAAGTAGGTTATGTAGGCTTGCATTCCATGGACATCCCACTGTGTTTAATAACTTGAATGTTTGTGTGATCACACATACATAGGAAGGAGAAATCGTGATCTCAAGATTAGGGTGTTTGAACATGTACCAAATTGGTGGCAAAAACAAATTCAATCCAACGACCCAATAAGAGTAGAGGGTAAACATCCATCGTCTATTGCCAAACATATAATCGAAACATGCCATAGGATTGATCTTAACTCCGTTATTGTGTTCTTGCTCAAAAGTGTTAAAGGGCATATACTAAGGCCATACGAAAATTCAAACCCCCTTTTGCGTGTACAAAAACAGTTTGTTCTCATCTTAAACCTACCCTGGTAATATTGGTTTATCATCCAGAGTGACGAGGCATCAAATTGTTTTCACATTATTTTGATTATTATGCTTGCCTCATCTTACCCCCAATTTCCAATCTAGTTGACCTTATATTTTGCTATATATATGTTCTTAACAAGTATGTGTATGGTCAGATTGTTCGAAATGTGTTGTGCCAATGTACTTCTACTTAAAGTTTGTGCTGATGATGTCGTTCGTTGGGAAAGAGTTAGGGGCGGCCAAACCAAAACATGGCATCAGTGTTTGAAGTCACTAACTTCTAGCCTGAGCCATGTTGGCAGATGCAGACTACCTGGTTGGGGTCCGCGTGACTATCGTAACCAATGGTTGGAGACTCTAGGTGACATGGCTCAGAATCGGTCACAATGGCGTAGGTGTATACACTCTTTATCTTCCCTTAAACCTTGAGACTAAAATTGCTTCATATCTCTCTTCCTTCCTGTACTATATCCTTATATACAATCTATAATTTATATACTACTACCAACACTAGATTAACTACTATGAATCCGGTGTTCCTCTTGTTGTGCTAACGAGGTATGGCAACTTGGACCGATGCATATATGTGCCTGGTCCTACGTTGTAGCTGACTGATGATGTCGTTCAGAAGAATGATGAAAGCTCCACTGCTAAACCATCCAGCTCAGATAACCAAACTCTATGAAATGCCCTAATATATATCACATAATTCTGATAATCTTCGTCTTCTTATTACACTATTGAAATTTATCAAAAGAACTAATTGCTATAAATTCCTTCTTTAAACTAGATTATCTTCAGAATTCATAGTAAGCAACGAACCAACGATTGATTCATACGCCGTTTGTTCCCTCAAGACACTGGAGCCCATGTGCACCATTGGTTTGGAATGAGGGTTTTCCAACTCCCCTAGGCGGACTTTCCGTGTTCACCAACCTGGTTAAGGCGCCGGACATTCGATTTTCGTCCTCTCGACTTCGTAAACAACAGTGATGCCACGAGAAGGCAGTGAGTAAGACTTCCCTGGCAGAAGCTATATATTCGCTGGCCATATGAGAGCATTTCGAGTGGAAGAACGGACTCGGCTGTACCAGGGTATCTGGGGGCCGTTGTTCATTTGCTCTTATAGTAAAGATTTGATAAATTTATTCTACTGAACTTTTGTAATCTGTTGTTTAATTAATTAATACTTGAATTATTGCATGTTTGAATTTCTCTACTTATAGGCTTTATTACCATCCATAAACTGTTGTTACCTATTGTGAATTTATAAAGTCACTTTTGATTTATTATTATTTAATTCTCATTCATCTATGGTGTAGTGATGTTTATATTATATTTTCCTGTTTTCTCTTGCCTATAGTCATATAAGTAAACTATATTCTAATGAAAGGTGGTTAGTGGCTAGCAGTGGAATCCAGGATGCGCGTTTCGTCCTATTTGGGACTCGCCAGCTGAATATACCTGCATCTTAGAGTTGATGTTCACTCTGGTACTCGAATCCAATACTTTTTGCTTCAAACGCCATCGCGTTATCCACTCGGCCACTGAGTCCTGATAGCCACTTGCTTTTGCGATGGAGTGACGTTTAAATTCACTTATTGTTACTTGTTTGAATCTTTGCTTATAATGCTTGTGAATTAAGGCTATATCGAGGCAATACACACAGTATGCACATACGGCCAATAAGAGGCTGACCAGCTGCAGTCCCAAACATCAATGGGAAGATTCAAACAAGTAACACTAAGTTAATTTATATTTTAATGAGTTTTTCATTACCAACTAAACTGTACTATATAAGTTAGCTTTGCTTTATTTGCTGTGTCCTGGTTATTAGGTAAACAATATCTTGAATTCATTGATTTTGGTGATTGATCTCGCATGTTACCTTACTGTAAATGATCTATTTGTCGAAAAAAGTGGTTATGACATTAAGTAAACGAAGGTTGTCGGTCCTATATAGGCAATCTATGCTGATAGATCAGAACTAGGACTAGATCATACAATTGCATATAAAGTTACAGACTGGTAACACGAGCTCTAATAGATATCTACAATCTGGTTTTTTTCTTTTGCTATGCATTATATATTATCCTAACTGCAAGAGTACATTTAACTTAAAGACCGTTGATTCATGTTGCACTGTTCTTATTACTGAATTTTCTATCATATATGACTTGATCATGTACAAATGGTGATTGCATATCTATGACGAGCTGTAGTTGTATAATTAGTGGTTTATAATAACAACGTGATAATAGAAGCCAAATCCGTGTGTTATAATTTCTAATTCATTGGTTATAGAATATAGGAGTTGAATAGACGAACGAACGTTAGTAAATTCGGAATATGTTGGAAGAAACTCTTTTCATCAGTCTAATTCATCATGATTAGACTACAGAATCTGGTGAATAAATTCAGTGAACATACAAAAGTTTAATTCTCTCCTCCCTTTTCATTCCTTATCGAATTCAGTCGACTAAATTGAAATATATTCACTCAACTGAATGACATGAAATAGTAGCATAGAACATTATCTAATATGATATGATTGAATCTATTTTAGCTATATGTATTGAAGCAAATGTTTAATGATATTTTTACTGAACTTAAAGATCTGATTCACAAGACAGTAGAGCATCGTGAAGAGATTTTGATGTAAGTGTGTTCACTGAGCTGAATAGTTTGGTCGTGGAGCTTTCATCGTCCTTCTGAACGACATCATCAGCACAAACTTCGGATAAAAGTGAAGTGTTTGAATTTCTCCTCATGTGATTCACAGCCTGTCCTGTGCACCTTGATGCTGATTGGTTCTTATTGACCTTAAATCTGTCATTGTTTATTTCTTTGTTTCGGTTGTATCTCCTATTGGTTTGATTTTTGTTCCTATATTTCTGCATAATTCAAACACTTCACTTCTACCTGAAGTTTATGCTGATGATATCGTTCAGAAGGACAATGAAAGCTGCACGACCAAACCATCCAGCTCAGAGAACAAACCTACATCAAAATCACCCACCTCAGCTACAAATCTTCTCCACCATCATGAAGAGATGCGATCCCATGGTAGCCGATGACCAACGATTGATTCATACGCCATTTTTCCTTCAGGATATTGGAGCCCATGTACACCATTGGTTCGGAATCAGAGTTTTCCAACTCCCCAAGATAATTACTCACTATAGGATCATGATCAAAATTATACTGTACATAAATTTATTGTTATTTCCTTCAAGTTCGACACCTTCCTTAATGTACAAATGGTCTAAAGCCTACACTTTCTCACTAGATCCGTCGTTGCTACCTTGATGTGGTGGTCGTGCTTGCCTATCGTGATGAACCAATCGAGCTATACTGGCTGGAAGAATCGTTCCTCAAGGTCCTACCATGCCAGGCAGGTCGGTTGAAGAGCGGTAAGACTAAAAGCAGCAAACCCAAGGTCCGAAGTCGTATTGCTGACTGTACAGAGGTGTGACAGCAGTAAGGTGTTTCCTTCAGACAACCAGCATAACAGCGATGCTGCCTTCCCACAAGGAGGGATGGGTCTAGAAAAGGTAGACCCTAAAAATACACTTCTCGCCTTATCCCACGGATATCCGTCTACGGCGGTAAGGTCCCAACATGTACGGAGCTAACACGAAAATTTCCCACAAAAAGGTCGTGTGTGACCGACCTCAAGCAGTTGTCCCTTGGGCACTGTGGTCACGCTCTCAGGTCATTAAAACCACTTCTAACCCAATTTCCTTTTCAGGTACCTCTAGAAGAACCCTTCCACTGAAGACCACCTAAGAAATCCTTGTACTATTCAACAATTTTTCAATGAAATCATCTATAAATTCTTCATAAATATATTCACATATACAATAATTAATGAAAAGAAGCTTAATGATATAAACATAAATACATCAAAAGAATAACTAAACCAAAAATCAATCCAAATAAAGCTATATATATATAAGGATATGATATCAATGTGTATAGTGATTAAGATGGTAGAGATGATTGTTCGACCTGGTTGCTTAGGTCATGAAGCTTTCCTTGTGTTTTAATGAATCACTTCATTTCAATTTGGAGTTTGTGTTGTTGATGTCATACAGAGGAACGAAGAAAGCTCCATAATCAAACTATCCAGTTTAGATAATAAAGTTCCAAGAATGGAATAAATGAACATAGTACACCTTGTATAAGCAAATATATACGAGTATATATGTATATTATTTTTGTTTTCTTAAATAGATTGACGGTTCAATTCAAATGAATGTAAGCAAGCAATGTGTACGATCAACATCCAATGTACATAAAGGCTATACGGTGATATAATATAACAAATCTAACTAAATAATTGAATGCTTTTCTTGGCTGATTTTAAAAAGTGGATTTAATTTTTTTCTGGCATATCTTGTAATGTATGCCATTGTGCTATAGGACGTCTTGGATTAGCTAACATATCAGACCAATGACGAAGTGCTGCTCCTGTTGCATTACAACCTAATACAACACGACCTATTGGTTCAGATGTTCCAATACGATCATAATCAACAACAGTAACAATTAAATTGACTTTCTGAAAAAGCAAAAAAAATGCAAAAGTAATTAAACAGTTTGGATTGGAGAATGCTGGTCGTTGGCCTATGCTCCATTGGGAGTAACAGGCGTAAGTAAGTAAGTAATTAAACAGTAGAAGTGATATTATTATATTTTAAAACGTATTAAAGCCTAGACATTTAATAGGCCTATTATGTACTTGTGGTTATATATTGTTTGAAGATTAAACGGTTGGTGAGATTATAAACAAAAAACCCTATTGTGATACGTCAAGGAGTCATCATACTTACGCCTGTTAACCCTCGTGGAGGAGCATAGGCCGCTAGTTAGCGTTTTTTTAGCGAGTTAGTTTTTCTACGGAATGAGGTCGCTAACCCCATGCCCAACCTTCCTCCTTTACCCGGGCTTGGGACCGGCAGTAACTCTAGAAGAGCTGCAGGCGGAGTTTCAATCAATCATCACCAACTACTAATGCACTTTTATTTAAACATATCAACATTGGGTCAAAAAAGTACCAAATATATATGCGCCATACAAAGCATTCGCTTTCTGTGAGGGCTGTACTACTGCCCCAGGTGCCCAAATCGAAGCAGGTGGTTTTCTTATGAGGCCACTCTTCAAGGACTGTAATACCAATGCATAAAGGGAACTAAGAACAGAAGCTGTGTGAATCGAGGAAATTATAATTAAAATCTTCATAGGATGCCGAAACAAATTATGTAATTGTGTTATTTGTGGAGATTTTTAGTAATTTTTATATATACTTGAAATCATGAATCATGCTCACTAGTGACTGGCTCCTTGAGGTATTTCCTGGAGTTCTAGTGAGAAGTAGTAACCAGTGAAGTTCAACCAGGTCTGTTGAGAGATAATAACTCACTGAAGACATTGGTGAAATGGTTGCTCAAACTTCATGGATTGGTTGAAGTTAGACATTAACGCCGTTGGTCTATTGGCTAAGCGCTCGCTCACGAGACTGGTTGATCTTGGGTTCGAATCTGGCGAGGTGGGATCGTGTATGCGTACTGCTGAGGAGGAGTCCCACAATGGGACGAAACGGCCTTGCAGTGCTTCCAGGTTTTACATCGTGCTCTGGCTTAAATCTATTCATGAATTCAACTATTAAATTAAACTACTGCCGAAAATACAAATTAATAACTTACTTGTATTTGATCAAATGGTACATCAAATGCAAATGATTCATTATAATAAGGATTCAATGTATACTTTTTAATTGTTGTCTTTTTCTTTTTAATACGTTTACCATTAAACATTAATGAAAGTTTTACATATGGATCTAAAAAAGAGAAGAAAGGTAATGAAAGAAAACACTTCAGTGATTATCATGATCATAGACATTTCTCAAACATCTTTATATTGTCGTTCAGTATCTTGGATAAACAGAACTACTTTCATGGCTGAAATCCTAAGTAAATTGAAGCCAGACCACCATGGTAAACCTGAAAGCACTGGATGGTCGTTTCGTAGTATTATTGGACTTCTCAGAAGTGCGCATCCACGATCCCTCACTCGTGAGATTCGAACCCAGGACCTACCAGTCTCGAGCCAGAGCCCTTAGCCGATAGACCCCTGAGCTGGCATCCAACGGTGTTACTGTCTAACTTCAACTAATCCACGAAATTTAGCAACCATTCACCAATTGTCTTCAGTGAGTTGATATCTCTACAACAGACCTGGTTGAACTCCACTGGTCACTGCTTCCCATTTGAACTCAAGGAAACATTCCTAACAGTCAGTCACTAGTGAGCATATGATTATAGATAAGAAGCGGTTTTGTGAATATTTCAGTATTTTCATAGTTGAATTCATGAGTCAATAGAAGCTAGACCACCATGGAAAACCTGGAAGCACTGGATGGTCGTTTCGTCCTATTATGGGACTCCTCAGCAGTGTGCATCCACTATGTCGTCTGAATACTTCAGCCTGATAGATGAATCTTTTGGTAGGAGTTTAATCTTTGTAATGTGATCTCTCAAAAAGAAACGTTTATAACAAAACCTTAAAAAACTTATTGAATTCAGACAACGACTAATGCTAAAACCGTGAAATCAAACACACAAGGTGGATACAGTAGAAAAATGGGTTTCTTTGAAGGATAATTTTGATATGCCTTGTAATGTCTGAATTCTGATTCGGATACACCTCATAACTGACTACTTGAGCAAGAAACGTATAGTGAGCTACCGAATGAAGTAAACAAATACGCATTCATATATATACCAGTCTAGACTAAGGAAATCGACCCGAATGAAGTGAAATTAACCTTCCGATTGCCATCAATTGACCTTTTTCTACTTCAAGTTGGCTCTCCACGTCAAATTTAATTACAGAAAGTAATACGACAGGACAAAGAATGTCAAAGTATAAATCATGGGATTATTAAACGAAAGATTATTAGTAGACTATTGGATTGTGATACTCTTATATTCTCCTATTTCTAAGCATTATCACAAGGGTGTTTTGTGGAGATTTTAGTAGTTTTATATGGGTAAGATCATGAGTCAATTGAAGCTAGACCACCATGGAAGCACTGGACGGCCATTTCATCTTATTGTGGGACTCCTCAGCAGTGAGCATCCACGATCCCACCTCGTGGGATTCGAACCCAGGACCTACTAGTCTCGCGCCAGAGCACTTGACCGATAGTTTGATCCATAAATTGTTGTCATACGTAATATTATTCCTGATTTATTATCAGCTAACTATTTTTCAATTACTTTGGTGTGGCATCACATGTGACTGAGCTGTATGTACATTGTAATTCCTTGACTGCATTACTATGTCGTCTGATATTTCAAGTACATTTCATTGTCAGTTTGAAGTCATGACTGAATTGAGTACAGCAGAGATCTGATCCCATCTTCACTTTATTGTCCACTTTGTTAAAATGAACTTAAGGATCAATGGATTTGAATTGTTTTTCATTGATTAAAGTATCAACATGCTCACTTGTGACTGACTTCAAGAGATATTTCCTGAAGTTCTAGTAGGAGGCAGAGACCAGTGGAGTTCAACCACGTCTGTTGTACAGATATCAACTCACTGAAGACAATTGGTGAACGATTGCTCAGATTTCGTGGATTGGTTGAAGTTAGACACTAACATTGTTGGATGCCGGCTCAATGGTCTATCGGTTAAGTGCTGTGGCTTGAGACTGGTAGGTCCTGGTTTCGGATCTCCTGAGGTGGGATCGTGGATGCGCACTGCTGAGGAGTCCCATAATAGAACGAAACGGTCGTCCAGTGCTTCCAGGTTTTCCATGGTGGTCTAGCTTCAATCGACTCATGATTTCAATTATGAAAAAAGGAAGTTACCAATCTTTCTTGCAATATAGGTGAAGTAGTATATGATAAAACTAGAGAAAGACAGAGATCACACAACTACTTTCTTATCATGAAGACTCGATCATACGGGACCTAATACAACTCAAGAAGGTATTCTATTTTTCACCAACGTGACAGAGAGTGTGTTTATAAATTTAATATGGGATTTCGATAGACGCCTTAAAATAACGCTAATATTCGTAATTACTTTGGTGCTTCAGCGATTGTTGTAACCTTCCATGAATTCTTTAAAAAACTGGAAGAAAAACCGAAGACACTTCGTTCAATCAGCCTTCAACAGTAATTTTTGCATAGAATGATAGAAAAACGATGGATAATCTATTGCACTATGAATGGATAGTTACTGATTTCGTTACTAACTTTACAACGTTTCCACAAACTTACAAAAAACTAAGATGGATCAACTGGGTCATTTTTTTACACCGAAATCAACCTTGAGAGTAAAACACATTCATCTTCTGTCGTCAACTTCAGGGTTCAATCTTTAGATGTACCAGATATGACATCTGTAAAATCTATTTCGGTCAACTTATAGGTTTATTCATTGAATTTTTCAAAAATATTGATTAGGATTGTAAGCAAAGATGGATAGTGACTAATAGTGGAATTCAGTTTGACGCGCGTTTCGTCCTGTTTGGGACTCGTCAGCTGGATGTACCTGCATCTCAGAGTTGATTGTTTACATTTCAACTAATGATTTGGACTAATAGTAGGCATCTTTTAACAGCCGCAAATGATATGAATGACCATCTCTTGTTTGGATTAAATTTGCGGATGAACAAACATTATTCTCCGGTTGATTGTTATCTAGTTTTCAATATATAATTTTGTAAAATTACATTGAATGATCTAAATTATTGTACTGTAGCATGACGAAAACATAAATTTACAATCAACGTTCATGGATTGCTAAGGTGACTCCAGGTTTTACACCCTTCAGTGAATAAATCTTGGTTCTTTTGAGAAAGGATGGACGCGAAAACCTTTTCCTACTTCATATTTCCACAATAAATTTCAATGTTATCTGATTGGCTTGTTATACCCTTAGTTTACCAATTTGCCAAAGGTTCCAGAACCACTTTTGATCTCTGTATACATAGAGACATTCGACTTCTTGAATAACAAATTGGTTCTTAAGTTTCTCACCTCTTTCTGTTTTCCGTCATCGTGACGAGTAATGTTAATGCGTTGTGTCAGTCATCCGGTCTGTCAAGTACACATTAGATCCTGTTGATATTTTTATTCGGAAATTATCATAAGTCAGCCAGTTATGATGAAAAAAATAATCAATTACTTTCTAAACGTAGAATTTCTGTAATTTAAACTACATTGATGTGTAGTTTGCAATAAATTGTGGTCAATGAAGTTCAGTTGTTAAACATTCTCGCAACAGTTCGAGTCCTACGTTCTAGATCGTGGATGCTCATTTCCAAAGAGTTCCATACTAGGAGGAAATGGTCGTTCATTGCTAACAGGTTTTTAAATGGTAGTCTAGCTTAGATCGACTGATGAATTTAACTATTCTAAACCACTATAATATCCACAAATCTCCATTTCGATAATAAACTGTTACTTTACTTAAGCCTGATACCCCTCTTCGAGAAGCATAGGCCGCTCACCAGCACTATCCATCCAACTATGTCCTGAGCCTTCCTTTCCAGTTCTGTACTATACACCACTGAAAAAATCCGTATTCCGATTCTGGGATAATGATTACTTATGATTACATTAACTATGAGCATTATGTACATTATCATTCGAAAACATTCATATATACTACTTATAACAACCATTTCATTCAATAAACTACCTGAAAGTCCACCGACATCCATTTTTTTCAAATTTTTTGCTTCTAATATGTTCACATTTAATCGACCAGATGTTGGAACATAACGTAATGAAAAGCAAATATCACCTAAACGATTTTCCTTTCAAAATAAGAAAATTGAAAAAAAAACTAAAGTCAAACAATTATCATAACACGTTGTGAAGTGTGATTTCAAAGTTTTTTTTATTATTTTCATATCACTAGAGGAAGTCAGTACGAACGTCAAGACAGTCCTATTGTGGGAAGCTGAAACGTGGAGAACTACTACATCCATCGTCAAGAAGGTACAAGTATTTATAAACAATTGTCTACTCAAAAAAAAGCTCAACATTCACTGGCCGGATACTATCAGCAACAGCGTTTTATGGAAGAGGACAAACCAGCTTCTAGTTGAAGAGGTAAATAGGAAAAGACGTTGGAAATGGATAGGACATACATTAAAGAAATCACCAGTGTGCATCACGAGGCGATCTCTAACTTGGAATGGTAAAGAAAAGCGGAAAAGAGCAAGGCCAAGGAACACATTACGCCGAGAAATAGAAGCAGGTAAGAAAAGGATGAATAACAACTTGAAACAACTAGAAAGGATTGCCCAGGACAGAGTTGGATGAAGAATGCTGGTAGGCGGCCTATGCTCCTCCACAAGGAGAAACAGGCTTAAGTAAGTAAGTAAGTAAGAGGAAGTCTTCCGATTATTCGACCGAAAACAATTGTTTAAGTTTAGTTATCGAGATATACATGAAAATGATGCTTCTTTGTTACACATGACATGGCTCAAAATCGTTCGCAATGGTGAAGGTGCATCCACTGTTTGTGTTCTTTCAAGTTCTAATCTTCTGAATGCTTCATGTCTCTATCTTTTTTCTCTTTCCAAATTTATTTCACTGGATTATACTCCTTCAATAACATCTTCAAACCCTAGTCTTTCTGATTACTGTTTATACTTTTACTACTTCTATCATTATGATATTTGAATGGACAACTGCTTCTCTGTGCTAATATGGTATGGCAACTCGAACTGATGTACGTACGTATGAAGTTCTACGTTGTGACTGACTGACTCTTCGTCACATAAGGTTACAATTGAAAGAGATTACTCAGGGTTATTTAATTCATGACTGATGTTTGATCACAAATTAACAAAGTTTACTACGAAGCAATCTGTGTGTATGAATCAATCAATCAACGTGATCAATATATACAAAATACTGAACAATTAGTAACTTGTGGATAAATGTAGTGCTTAGTATTGACGAATAATTCGTAACAGAGAGATGACGTATATCATACTGATCTGTTTACTTATACATCTCATTATATCTAATAGATTGAACTGTAATATGATCTACAATCTAACGTACTTACGATGTTTTAATATTAGATGGTTGGAGTTAGTCAAAAGTAAAAGCTAGACATAGATTTCGAGTTAGTTAGTGTACATCGCTAAGCCAAACCATCTCGTTTTACTGTTCCAACACAAATATAGATGAAGACATTAGGAATACCATTAGAGCATTCATAAAACCAACCGAAACAATCTGACATTCTCATGTATGAATTTTGTATTTCATCGAAGTAATTAGTTAGAACAAGTACATATAAGATCACTATTATGTTAAAAATTTACTCTGAAGAGTCCAAATTAATTTTTACTTTTGAAAAAAGCTGGTATCATCACTTAAACTCACCTTTTCACCTTCCCTTTCTGGAGGACTTAGTTCACACCATTCTTCAATTACATTACATAAATCTACGGTACTTAATGGTACTTTGATTTGTCCAATTTGATCATGTTTAGAAAATCGATCAAAGTCGTAAACAGTAAATGAAATAGTTTTAGAACTGATTTCAGCATAGGGAATCTATGAAAGAAGCAAAGAAAAACAACTTAATGGTTTAAGTTTATCTAATCAGGCTTGAATGTATGAAAAATCATCTGGACAATGGTTACTCTGGTTGTTAGAAGGTGTATCGGCCTCATGACTTCCGAAGGAACTCGGCTTTCATCATGAGACGACATAATAATTTTTTCAATTCTCAGGGCAGACTTTAAATGGTTTGAATAATTATTTTTGGTCAGCGTTTTCTTATAGAGTTGGGTTTCTACAGAATGGGGTCGCTAACCGCATACCCAACCCCCCTCGTTTACCCCGGCTTGGGAACGGCAGTAGCCCCCGGAGGAGCTACAGGCGGAGTTTGGACAGTGGTAACTGAGAGCATTTTACTGAAGGAAGTTGATCATAGGTCCATTGGTTATTTCAGGACACATTTGTTTGTAAATTTTAACTCGGTTTGGCAGTTAAACATTTTTATTCATATCAGTCTTCTGAGTTTGGTATACCATAGAAGGCATATTTTGCAACCAAATTGAATCTCAGCTAAGCACTTATCACTAGTACAACAGTGATTATGAGATGATTACTCTAACTACTACGATAGATGATATGAGTTCGAGTATGTATCATAGTATAATTTGTTTAATTATGAAACCATCGCAATGCTGGTGAATTTATCCACTGTGAAGTTAGGATAAAATGATTGGTTTTAACAACATATTAAACTTTTACACATGTTGCAATTTCGAGGCTTGCTTTGGCATTCTATCAGATAGAATGTTGAATGAACCATCCTACTACCATCTTCTACCATATGTTTGATATTATCAGGGATATCGTTGTGCAACTAATCAGCATTTCTGAGTTCATCTCACTTGAGAATAATGAATGCATCAAACATATGATGTATTTGTTGTTACAACTCAATAAAATAATGTTTGCAAGAGTTTATATCACTCCATTGTTGTTAAAGTCTGCAGTTGATCAGTCCCTGCTAACATCTGTACATTCTATACGTTCGCCTGCATATTGTGAGTTTGAACAAGTCTAAACTCATTAGCTCAGTAAATATTAGTCTGACATTCGAAAAGGGAAGGCTCAGTGTATCCATCAGTATTAAGATACAATTGGGCCCAGCGAAGGAATCTCGAATATGAAGAAACCAACTTTCCTCCATTCTGATAACAGTCACTTTACAACCCAATACATTTGATGTTTAAGACTTATATGTATGTATAAACTGAAAACCTGAACGAAGCACTTGAGCTAGTTAAACGTAAGTTAATCAATAATTCTGATCAACATTTGAATTCATATGTAAATTGAATCTTGTAGTTGGATTCAAATAAATGGTTTTAATCACTTACCTTAAAAACAAATGTTTCATTAAATACAGGATTTAAAATTTTCCGATGTACTTTCGTTTCATATTTTTTCTTTTTATCCGGTAATAGAGTAACTTTTACATAGGGATCAGAAGTACCACACATATCCATAGCCGGTAAATCATTTGCTTGAATGACACCAACTGTTAACTGAATAATATAAAACATATTGAGTTATGGTAAAATGTTAATTTGATTGAATTCGTGAGTCCATTAAAGCTAGACAACCATTCAAAAACCTGGAAGCAATAGACAACCGTTTCCTCCTAGTATGGAACTTCTCGACAGTATGCGTTCACGATCCCGCGCTTGGGCTTAGGTCTTGCAAGTTTTTGCTTAGTCTTTAAACCACTAAGTCCGTATCTAACGGTGCTGATATCTAACTTCAACCAATATACGATACTGCGTGACAGCTCACCGTTGTTTTTAGTGAATAACTGCCTCAAAATAGACACGGTTTACTCTACTGGTCATGTCTACACACTGGGACTCTTGAACGCACATCTTGAAGCCAGTCACCAGTGGGCACATGAAAATTATTGTCAGAATGAAGGTTTGTTGAGATTGTAGTAATTCTGCCAATAAATTGAATTGTAAAAGATATAGAAATCAGCTCGAACATGTTTAAAATTTTATACAAAAATGAATAATTAATTGATTCAGTTATGTGTTTTTGACCGACGCGTGAGTCTGGACCTATATGAACACATTGGTTCTTTTGAAATTCTCTTCATATTCAATAAGTGTATTATAATCAGCGCTTTTTCTAATAATTTTTATGTTTATTTAGTGAATGAGTAATAGATGAAACAGTGGTATTATCATTTAACATTTTACTTTAATCTTATGGAGTTCTCCGTCACCCTGTAGTGTCGGTTGCTACGGTAAGCCAAGTTGGCTCATTCTGGCTTTTGGACAAGACACTTATTTATTTATCCTGTATCACATTTTGACCATTTTAGTTACTCGCTTATCAATATTGACTGCTTTTATGTTAGTCTATGTGTATGCACTTCTTATATTATTCATCACATGAATGTAACGTATCCAAGTTTGGCTAAAATATTGATTAACTCTTGAGTAAAAGGAGTCGGATAACATTTCTTCACAATAGCACGTCATTTTTATTTGCTCTCTTCTCTTCGCTACCTTCGCTTCGTTCCTTTGATTGTCTGTCCAGAACAATAAGTATAAAAAATATGCATAATAAAAACTCTGTTGTTGTTTTTAACTTATTCGATCCCGTTATTGACTAGCACAAGTCAGGTGGATAATTATATTCGAGGATTGACGACTTATGTATTTGTACAGGAATCATTTAATAACGATCATCGAGTCAGGTTTTGGGCCACTAAAACCTTTTGGCCAAGCTATTTGTGACACGAATGGTGAAAAATACAAACATTACGGGTACTAGAAATTGAAATAAAGTCCCGCTACTTTTTTTCTACCCTGTTCTAATTTAACAGATGAAGCAAAAGTGTCTTTAAATGCTGTAAGAAACCGATTTTTCTTCCGACACAACAGATATCTGTTAACATGTTTGTAAACAATTTTGTAAAAACACTCCTTTTTATCTTTAGAAAGATAGGTGTGTTTCAATTGCTTGATAATATATTGAATGGTGAGAATATGTTTTATGTCAGACTTCTGAGAGACTCTATAGTGGAATGTCCACCAACTAACTAGTACTAGTTGAAGAATGTATATCAGTTTGATGAGCAGATGATGATAATGGTGAGGAATGAGATTGCAGGTTTTCAGCACAAACTAATATCAGGTAAAATGCTGAACAGCTTTTTAGTGAAATCGATGAAAAGATTTCGCGCCAAATACTAGACCTATCATCACATATATGTCGGTAATTTTTTATCTCACCAAAATAAGCAATAAAAGAACAAAAAAGAATTATCCATCTCAAATTATACATGATTTACAGTAGCAATATGCTTTGACAACACATTGAAAGAAGTTTCTAAAAGTCTGACCTTACAATTCTTCGAATAATTCATGTGTTTCTCAAAAAAGCAGACTGATCTTATTTAATAATTATTATTTTTGTTCAGCATTTTAATTTTGTGATGCAATAGAGAATTCCTAGCACAAAGTATTTCAAAAGTTTCCGGTTTCTACTTGTTAGTCAATCTTGACGAAAATTACTGAGTAGACGCCAGCTAGAAGTTAGCAGTCAACGAATCGACATGTGAAATATGTACATTACTTCCTCTGAAACTTGTCAGTAACAACGACGTTCTTGATCAGGCTTTTTTTGTAACTTAATTAGCGAAAGTTTGTACACTTTTCATAAGCGCACCTTAATAGGTTGTGCGTATAGTGAGCATTGATGTGTTAAAACAAATAAAAACAAAAAACTTGTTGAAATAATTAAAAAGCAAAACCAGGTAATCCTGATGTTTAAGCAGGCTTCGTGTGTAATTTAGGTTCATACATGAATTATATTCGACTTATTTTTCAACATAATTAATTGATAATAACGCCCAATACATTCTTTAAAACGCACTACCTAAAGACATTTCTGACCGTTTTTTTAACTTCAATAGACGATGATGATGAAATACATTTCACTTATTTCACACATGTTCTCTTGACTGTTCTTGTTAGTGTGAACAGAATATAAGAATGAGAATCCGAGAGTATTCCTAATGGTCGAATTCATGGGCCCATCTAAGGTACATCGCCCCACAGTATAGGTATCCTCAGCAGTGCCTATCCACGATCGCAAACATGGGCTCGAACCAAAGATTCTTCGTCTCGCGTACGAGCGCTTAAGCTCCAATTCACTGAGCCGGCATTCAATGTTGCTAATGTTAAACTCAGATTAATCCACAAATACTAATGTATTTTGAGGCCTCATTATTTATATGAACGTTTATAAGGTCAGATTTCAAGAGATCTGAAAAAAGAGAAGCACTTCAGCTAACTCAGTTTAATTAAGCCTGGCTGAAGATTTATAGTCAGAAAACAAACTAAGGGATAGATAATGAGTGACGTTATCGATGAATATATAATCCCTCAAGCTTAAAGGTGAAGAATCGATGAAGGCAAATATACGGAGATGTAGCTAATAAGCTGAAAGATTAAAAAGACTTGTTTGTCCATAACTTGAAATAATTTTGGCGAGAGGGTATTATCGATTTCAACATACTCTTCATCACTTGTTTGAAATTCGTATGACTTTTTCTTCAACTTTCATAAGAATGTCATAGATTCTGTGTTCATTGCTTGAACTATGCATGCGTATGTGCATATATACTCAATCGAAATTACATGAACACAAAGTTTAATTCTAACCTCAGCCTTTTGAAAATCATAATCCAATGAAAATTGCAATTTTCCAAGATGTTGTTTCTCTAATTCACCTGCTTGTTCCTGTTCATTCATTTCCATGTCAGATTTCAATGCAACGCTGTCCTGGTTGTGAAATAAAGAAATTTCAAAAATGCATTTCACTTTAATAAGAATTAAAAGAGTTGATGTAAGGTAGATAATATTGGCAAGTGTATCAAAACTGTCAATTTTATATCTAGTTACTTGAAGTTTTCAGTCAACGAATCACCATCAAGTAAATCTACAAATATAGATACGCCTCAGATGATTGACTGATAACTGGAGATTACTGTCTAATTTCAGTTTCTGATAACTTTTACTAATATTATCTATCATTGCATTTCTGTGTGAACACCATTATTTTATTACTGGCATTCCTCAGATTTGATTACAAAAAACCGCAGAGCGCAAACAGTCTATCATAGATTTTCATGTATTATAACCATTTCACATTTATGACCACTTAAAAAATGGAAGATATCACAATACTATTGAACACTTAGTTGTCGACTTCTAAATACGACGAAACGCGCGTCGTCGATTCCAATACCAGCCACGATCCATCTTTTTTTTGTTTTGCATTTGTTATCAACTTTTGATGTAAATTTGAATTATTCTATCATAAATCTCCACAATAACTGCGTCAAAAGACATCAAGATAGTACTCACAAATAGTTCATAAATCACTTACAATTTATGACCTTGATTTTCACTTTTTTGAGTGAACTATTCAAATTATTCACATATTATCGTGTTATACACACAGTCAGTTACTATTCTGTGTTTCAAAATCCTCTCAGTAGAATATTTCGGGAAGTGTTAAAAACTTTTCAGTCATCATAATTTATCAAGGTGTAACTTCGAACGAATTGTAAGGCAGATATTCACTGTCAGACTTAATCATGAATAAGTGAGTAGAAATCCACATTATGATGTTTACCAGTCATTGCAGTTAATTACTTCAGGATGAAAAGTTACTATTCTTGCCATTTCTCACTTACATCTGATGGGTAGTGATGCAGTTTTTAATATAGAGTTTATTTGAATAATTTCTTAAGAAACTATAAAAGATAAAGGGATACAAATTTGTATACTTTACCCGAAGATTCCATCTGATTTTGTTATTAGTGCAAAGCATGATTAATGAATGAATCTTTTATAACAATGTTTTGATAGAAAAGGAGTCTGTAAGCAAAAGACCTACTAGTGATGGCACGATTATATTATTCGATTGTCTATATCGATCAGTAAATTGATGAGACTATACGTATGATGGCATCGTAAGGTTTTTTACTGCCATTTTTCTTATTATTAATAAACTCAAAATCACTGTTTAAGGCTACCATTGACTATTCATATACTTAGTAGATTATGATTTACATCAGCCATTTGAACACCGTGTTGCACATTCAAAATTGTTTACTTCCAATAATGATCAGAGAAATAGGAAATTATCGTAACTTTAAGAAGATCACGCAGTTTACGTTTCATAGTACCTGTAGGTTTCATATTGAATAGCGTAAGTTTTGTTAGGTAAGATCATATCGACTCATAATTCTAAAGTGTTATATACTTGTTTTTTAACTATATCTATCGCAAACTTATAGATTACTAGTATTTGTAAAAGTTCTTTCATCACTAATTACAACGCACATTTGTTTCATCACAGTTCTACCTACACACAACATTTACCTATGAACAATAATTTGGCTTTCTAGATCAACAAGTTACTTTTTATTTAGATCCCATTCATAGACTTAAGAGTTTTAAGAGTAAGAAACAGTCGTCAGTAACGAATTATGGTGAGTTATATATGCTAACAAGTGACTTCAGTTGAAAATGCATAGGGGCAACCAAAAGCTGCTCGGTTGAACTCATAAATATGAGTAGTCTCAAACAGTGGTCAAAAGTGTTATTTTTAACGACTTTATAGTCACAAGCCGAAACAACTTTAAATGAAATAATATCACTGATTAATGACCTAGTTGTTGTAGTAGCTAAGCGTTCACATCCAAATCTGAAAGTCGAGGGTTTGAATCCTGGTATAATGGTAAGTGTCTACTGTCAAAGAATCTCTTACCGGGTCAAAACTGCTTTCAAATAATTTCTGCTTCTTATCGGTATCACAAACTTATATCAATCGGAGACGAATACAGTTCACAAATATATTCTTTAGTAATCATAAAAAAGGTTAGACACACAAGAAAAGTCAAACTTACTTGACTTTTTAATGCTTCTGATAAATGAGCTGCTGTTTTTAAGTCAGCTGCTAACTTTCCACCAGCTAGTGACATTTTCTTACCATCTTTTTTCGATCGACGTTTTTTTAGTAAACAGCGTTTACAAAACCAAATCAATAATAATAAGCCAAAAGTGACACCCAGTATAGAGAGACTGACAATACCACCATGGGATACTTGAAATTAGATAAAATGTAAAATGAACAAGATTTAATAAAGAGAAAACATTAGAAGAACAATAAATGAATGAACAAATTTTGTAAAAAATCAGTTTAAAGTTCCATGTAGTTGGTACCCGAGCATGTCTCATGAATAAAATATAAGATCCATACTTAACAATCGTTGACATTGTAAATAAATTTCATTGACAAAGTAAAGGCATTGTGCATATCAGTTAGTTTCAGGATGAGTATTTCATCTTATTTAGACCTTGTCAGTTGAATATAACTATGTCTCAGTACTGATATTCACAGTGAGATTCAAACACAGTACTGTTCTTTTTGAACTTCGACAAGTTCTACACTGATCTACTCTATCTAAATCAAATTTCTACGTCGGATGAAAGCCTAAACACACAAAATTTCAGAATTCCTTTTTATTTTTCGTAAACAGTCTATGCTTTATTTCACTTCTTGATAAATGTTATATTTATATTGCATTATTTAGGTCTGTTAACATGATTGATGCTAACTTTGGTTGGACTTTAATCCTGCACACCTGAAAGTTCGAAATTTCTTAACGACTGATAAAAGTATTCACATTTTCTCATTATCGATCATCAAGATTGAAGGGATCAATATCCCTGTTGCGATATAGATTTGTTGGATGAGTACCTACGCTTGTATATTGAATACCTTTGTGCTGACAATATAAAATGAATCATCTTCGTTTTTGTTAGCTGGATGACAAATACATGTTGGATCAAGGTCATGACCAATAAAATGCCAACAAAATAAAACATCATACTGAAATCATGAACCAATAAACTTTAGGTCACTATTAAAAACCTGGCATTTTCATCCTAGAATGGAACTCTCCAGCCGGGACCGGTGGAATTCAAACGTGCAGCATATGAGGCAGCTACTGACTGTATATCTTGGAAGATGGTTGCACAATGTCTCGTATGATTTGAGGTTGAACACGAATATCTTTGAATGAAGGTGTTAGCGGGACATGAATTGGATTTAAGCCTGTTTCATGCACGATTGTTTCGGTGCACGTTGATTGGCCAAATCTTATCCAATCAGCGCTAGTCGATACTTGTGGAAGACTCTAAAATTTTCTCATGTTAAAACTACAAATATACCAACGTATTTCTTATTGTTATTCGGAATATAATTTTGTTTCCTGTTCAACCGTTTTCTGATTTGGTGACTTGTCGAGTGAATGGGTTTCCAACTCTACTAAGCATTAGAAATAGCTGAACCTTAATAAGAGAAATCATAACAGAGGACTCACTGGTTTTAAGACTGAGAGTTTGCATGAGGGGTTGAGATTCTTAGGTTCGATTCCTGGTAGCAGGATCGTGGATGCGCTCTTCCAAGAAGTCCTATACTATGACGAATTGGTCATCTGTTGCTTTCAGGCTGTCAATGGTGGTCTAACATTAGTCTGTTCATCATTTCAATAAAATTCAACAACCCTATAGTTTCATATACATTCGTTATATTAAGAAGACATTCAAATTATCTACATTTGAAGAGGGATATTATTTCTATCATTCTTGATTATCGGTACTTAGAAAATATTGTAGTGAACAAAATACGACTGGGGACAATCGAATGTTTTTAAGCACATCATTACAGACTATCTCACTCAATTCTGATAACCATACAGCAAACAGTCTCAATCTTCACTGTTCCTTCTGTAAATATCAGTTCATCTTCTCTAATTCCACTGTTCATGAATTTTCTTTCATTTCAGTTCTTTCCTTATCGATCTTCTGTCAAAATGCATTCTATGTCTGATCATAACTATATACTACTTATATGGATTTATGTAGACCACTTATATGAGTAGTTATGACATGCTAAACTGAAAATTATTAAGAATTCAAGTTACATTACGAACATCAACACCACGGAGTATATACGACAGTATGTAGTCATTGAATGAGTCCTATAATAGAACAAAACACATACCTATATGTCACCTATTTTCACTCCTCTTTACTGTCACTTATAAAGATATTCATATATAAATAATCAATAAATGAATGATTTTTTTCTCTCTCATCAACTAATGAGCTTAATTATTATTATTGTTATTGTTATTTATAAAGGAACTTTATTTCAGCCCAATTTTCATGCATCAACATAAGGATAGACACCATAAATCGTTTAATATAAGTACAAGAAAATTAAAAAAAGGGAATAAATAAGTGAAAGTGAGAGTGAGAACGAGAGAGGGAAAGGGAGGAAGAGAGAGAGAAAGTTAGAAAAATGAAGGACATTGCGCCATGAAATATAAACAAATGAGTTAGAGAACAAATAGGTTGTAGAAAAATGTTTCTTGTTTTTTTTTGTTCACTGAGACAAATAAAAACAAAATTGGGCAGGAAAGTAACAAAGAGAGTATTGAATGATTATTCAATATTGAATGAATGAATGATTATGGTAATGAATCATGTATGACAGAATACTGGTACATAACTAGTATTGAAGAGTTTAAGGCTAAGATAAGACATCTATTGTTTACTTTAGATTATACTAGTTCTTAAGGTTAACCATTTGTTAATTAATAAACAACTTTCAAGTACAAACTTAACAATAAACTGATAAATAAATAAGGCAGTTGAAATTATTTGTCAATTGATGTTAGACCATCATGGAAAACCTAGAAGTACTGGACGGCCGTTTCGTCTTATTATGGGACTCCACAGAAGTGCACATCCACGATCCCGCACTCACGAGATTCAAACCTAGGACCTAGCAGTCTCACACCAGAGCAATTAACCGGTCGACATCCTGAGTCGACTGAGTCGACATCCAACAGTGTCAATGTCTAACTTCAACCAATACACGATTTTGAGCAACCGTTTACCAATTGTCTTAAGTGAGTTGATATCTGTACAACAGACTTGGTTGAACTCCACATTATCAGGTGGTGGTCCGAATTCTATAGGCACAAAGTCAATTCTTCTAAGATTTTTGACCGTCAATAAACAAAAAACAAATATCAGGGTTGTTCACCGACAATTTCCATCATGTAACGATAGATCTTAATGAATACGAGGTCAATTTAATTAGATTAGCAAACATCTAACAACATGATCTATCTAGATCGATCAGTAACACTAAGAATATTGTTTAGAACATTATACGAAACAAAACGTCAGGCTGAAATGAAATGTAATCGCTCAATGGTATCCTGTTCTCATTTATATTCTGTTATCAGTTAACCTGGGATTTATAAACAGTAAAATAAATTTTCATAGTTGAAATCATGAGTCAATTGATGCTAGACCACCATGGAAAACCTGGAAGCACTGGACTGACGTTTCGTTTTATTATGGGACTCCTCAGCAGTGCTCATCCACGACCTTGCCTTGCGAGATTCAAGAATGGTTGGAGTTAGACATAAACACCATCGGATGCCGGCTCAGTGGTCCATCGGTTAAGGGATCTGGCTTGAGACTGGTACGACCTGGGTTTCAATCTTGCGATTTCGGGATCGTGAATGCGCACTACTGAGGAGTTCCATAATTGGACGAAACGGTTATCCAGTGCATCCAGGTTTTTCATGGTGGTCTAGCTTCAATTGACTCATGATTTCAATTATGAAAATACTAAATTCTTCACAAAACCCCCTCTGTGTAAAGTGAATGTCAATTAAATCCACTCAAAACTATACTTCAGATCATATGCCAACTGCTACAACATTTCGACTCAGTAAAAATATACCAAACTAGATTACAGAAGGGTATTTGATTGACATATTAAGAGATGTTTAAGTCCTAGGTTCAGTATACAACGAAAGATCAAATGAAAGTTGATAGAAAATCTCAAAAATAGACAAAAGATGTACCTAAGGTTAGTCCATGAAACAACAATAAAGTATACACATAATAAGACTTATAAAATGTTCAAAAATTAAACTTACATCCATTGTGTTCACTTTGTTCCGTTGAATGTCTTAATAATAATTGTTGATGTTTCAATGTAGCTTGTCCACTATTTGTATGTGTTATATCAACTGGTGCTGAGAATGAACGATAAATATGTTCAGATTCACTATCTTCTATACGTGATATCTGAGGTGTTGATGATGATGGGGAGGATGATGATGACCATGAATCTATGTCAACTTCTGTTGTTTCCTTAGAGATTATATTGAAAGTAGGATATGAGGTGATTGTACTTAAATTCTCCTGATGATAAACTACTGTTGTATTATTTGAAGTTTCATTCATTATGATTGTATTGTTTGTTATATTCATCCCTATTGTTGTTGTATTATTCATCCAAGTGTCATTTAACATAGACTCAGTAGTTGAATTGATAAGATTAGTTGTACTGTTTTCAATATACTTCATCATCTGCATGTTTGATAGTGAATAGTCCACTATTCATTAAATGATTTGAATGATTCCTAGTTTGTTGAAATGGTCGAAGATGATGAAAATTCCTTGAATAATATGAACTTCATGATAATAGATAGGAAAGAAACTTCTTCTTGATGGTTTTCTTTCTTATTTTGTATATCCTTCACGGTTTCAATATGTACAAATTCCTTTTCTATTTTATAAAAACAAATAAAGAATCAGAAGAGATTTTGTGGACTAATTAGTATTTTCATAGTTGAAAGCGTGAGTCACTTGAAGCTAGACCACCATGGAAAACCTTGAAGCACTGGACGGCTGTTTCGTCCTATTATGGGACTCCTCAGCAGTGAGCATCCACGACCACTTAGCCGGCATCCAGGATTGTTAGCTCCTGAGTTCGCGAGTTCGGGATCGTGGATGTGCACTGCTGAGGAGCCCCATAATAGGACGAAACGGCCGTTCAGTGCTTCCAGGTTTTCGGTGGTTGTCTAGCATCATTTGACTTACGCTTTCAACTATGAAAATAAAGAATCATCAAAAGAAATTGTACATTGATCATCTGTATAAAACATCTCACTAAGTATTATTAACGATTTTGTGGCTTCTATTTGTAGTTCATCAATATTACTTAACCATAACGGTAAATATAGCGAACCACAATCATGACTGTTAACATTTTATTTTACAAGTTGCTAATGTGGTATGTGCTACTGATATCAACATATATAAGTAGTATGTATCATCAAACGAAAATGAAATGCCTGGAAGCAAAACGGTAAGAAGATCAAAGAAAAAGATAATCATTAACTCATTTAGTATTGTTTGTTTGAATCTTCCCATCGATGTGCCAATTAAAGACTGACCAGTTGCAGTCCTAAAACATCGATGGGAAGATTCAAACAAACAATACTAAATGAGTATAAACTTCACCCCATCGCACAATCAAATGGCTATCAGGACTCAATGGCCGAGTGGATAACACGATGGCGATTGAAGTGAAAGGTACTGGATTCGAGTCCCAGAATGAACATCAACAAGTCTGAGATGCAGGTACATCCAGCTGACGAGTCCCAAATGGGACGAAACGCTCGTCAATCTGGATTCCACTGTTAGCCACTATCCATCTTTGTTTAATAAGTAGTATGGATTAATAATTAATGTAAATCAATATAAAAAGCATCAGTGATAATAAGATATCAGTGTTCATCTGTTAAAATTGATTTGAGTTTAAAATGCTTATAATGAAGATTTGTTCTTTGAGCTGGATAGTTTGATCGTGAACTTCTACAGGTCTGAATAGACACTCTTATTCAGTGATTTAAAGATAAGGTATTCATTACAAGATCCCCCCTATTAAGGACGCGTAAGCTAGTTGTACTTGCATCTCATAGTTGATGTTCATTCCAAGACTCAAACTCAGTACTGTTCACTTCAAACACCATCACGTTACCTTAAAAAGTCATTAGCTTGTGCATTGGGATGTAGTTTAAATTCACTTGACGTTATTTGTTTGTATTTTATTGCTGTTAAGGACTGCCAATGATCAGTCTCTTGTTGGCATATCTGCATTCTATGCGAATTTCTTCGATATTACCTCAAATCATAAACATTCTAAGCAAAGATGTATAGTGGCTAACAGCAGAATCCAACATGTGCGTTACGTTCAATTTCTAGTGCTTGTGAATTAAGATAATTTCGAGTTCATACATACTGTATACACATAAGTCAATAAGATACTGATCAAATGACAGTTCATAACACCAATAGAAAGATCCAAGTAAAGTAATACCAAGTGAAATAAATCATTCCCCCCCCCTAAACACTGAGTTATCAATATTATAATCTATAATCGAGTATAATCCTGGTATCACACACATACACACATACACAAATGCTCATGCAGACATAAATGAACCTATAAAGATATTGTCAACTATAAAATGAATATGCAGAGTTCTATGTAGACAATGAACAACACAACTTTTGTCAAACTCAGTCAACTTGGGTTCTTTTCTCCTTTATTGCTTGGTTATGTAATTTTCTTTCTTTTGGGACATTGCAGTCTTTGCAAATCTGAATAGATTCGTATCAAGATGTGTGTGTGTGTATGTGTATGTGTACGTTTATGTGGGTTTAATCGAATAAAAAAGGGGATATGTTGACAAAATAAGAATTAATCTCTTCCACTCTAATTACTGGACATATATACATATCTATATAGTAGTAGTAGTAGTATAAGTAGTATTAGTAGTAGTATATGTAGTAATAAGATTATAAATCACGTCTATTAGTGTATTACGCTACACAACAATCATATACCCATTAGTTAACTGGTTTTATGATGGATTTCCTAAAATTTCAAATGAAAAACTCTACCTTGTGTTGAGTTAACCAAAGAATTCAATACTAAAACGGGGATTATACCAGCGTACAACTGTGATTCAGGCAAGTCCTACTGTGTTCAATTCAGTGTGAAGGTTGATTTTGTTTGACATATTGAAGATTGATCACATTGTTATATGTCAGTGTGAAAATTAAGTACAAAATAGATCAGTGGAGCTAGTCTGAGTCAGGTAGAGGCAGATATGTACACTGGACAATGGAGGATGTTCTTACAATTTTATGTATTGTTTGAAGTTAGATAGTAATACCGTTGGATGCTAGCTCAATGGTTCAGAGGTTAGCGTTTAAACGTGAAACCGAAGGTTATGGGTTCAAATTTCGCATGTAAAAACCGTGAATGTACACCGCGAGGAGACCCACGCTAAGACGAATCGGTCAGCCAGTGCATCCAGGTTTTCAATGATGGTTTAGCATTTATCGATTCATGATCTCATTTGAAATGCAACATTTGCTTCAACCCTATACTGATAATATTCATACATTTTAACAAATAAAAATTCAAGGCTAATGGACATGATGTCAAGTGATGTAGACTAGTGACTGACTTTGCGTAACAACTTGACCATATTATCCACTAACCTTAGAACCTCGAGGTGACACATAATGATACATAAGCTACTTACTTACTTACGCCTGTTACCCCTAGTCGAGGAGCATAGGCTGCTAATCAGCATCCTCCATGCAACTTTGTCCTGGGCCTTCCTTTACAGTTCTTTCCAGCTGTTATTCATCCTTTTTATACCTGCTTCTATTTCTCGGCATAATGTGTTCATTGGCCTTCCTCTTTTTCGCTTTCCTTTCGGATTACAAGTTAGGGATTGACTCCTGATGCACATTGTTGATTTCCTTAATGTATGTCCTATCCACTTACAACGTCTTTTCCCAATTTCCTCCTCAGTTGGAAGCTGGTTTGTCCTCTCCCACAGAAGGCTGTTGCTCATAGTATCCGGCCAATGGATGTTGAGTATTTTGCGTACACAGCTGTTCATAAATACTTGTACCTTCTTGACGATGGATGTAGTAGTTCTCCACGTTTCAGCTCTGTACAATAGGACGATCTTGACGTTCGTATTAAACATTCTCACTTTGAATTCAGTCGACAGTTGTTTTGAGTTCCATATGTTCTTCAATTGTAGAAATGCTTCCCTTGCTTTGCCAATCCTCGCCTTTACATCCACATCCGATTCTCCTTGTTTATCAACGATGATTCCCAGATACTTGAATGTTTCCACCTCTTCCAGTGTTTCTCCATCAAGTGTTATTGGATTGGTGTTCTTCGTGTTTTATTTGAAAATCTTGATTTTTCCTATGTGTATGTTGAGACCTATTGATACTACATAAACTAACATTTGAAATAAACGTTTTCTCATCGTTTCAGATCTTCTATCTTTCGTTGAGTATTTCAGAATATAGAAGATTCATAAAGACTAAGACCTTTGTATTCAATCATTCAAGCAAAAATTCTATCCTTTTACAAACTGAATATAATCAATATCAGGTTAATACTTTATGTTTGTCCGAATAACATTATTAAGCCATGGCGAGTAAAACACACACACACACACACACAAAGAGAGGGTAAGACGATAGACAACTTTTAATTTTCTATCGCCTCTTTTATTGTTATCTTCACTTTGTTTTTAATAATTTATATGTAACCTTAGTTACAGTGACAAAATAAATAGAGGTGTGTTGATTAAATTGTCTAAGTAAAGTATGAATATATGACCAATTGTTTAAATAGATTCATCAGTAAGTAAAGAAATACTTGATGGCTTTCAGACTCCTAATATTACTCACATTACTTCTGCTACTAATTACTCTCACACCATTGCTACTCCTACTCACATTACTATTATTATTACTACTACTACTATTACTGAGTGAAAGGCAGTGACCGATACAACTCAACTGTGTCTGTTTTGAGGCGGTGACTCATAGAAGACAATGGTGGACGGTGAAACAATGTCAGAGATTGGTGGAAGCTAGACAATAACACTTTAGGATATTGGCTTAGTTGTCTAGGGATTAAGCGTACGAGAGCAAGGCCAAAGGTCCTGGACTATGATCTCATGTGCGTGGTCGTGTATGAACACAACTAAGAAGTCACACACTAGTTCGGATAAGTCATTTAGTACTTTCAGGTTTTCAGTGGTGGTCTAGCTTAGACCGACTCATGAATTAAACTAATAAACCATTATTGAGTTCTTTAATACAGAAAAATATTTGTAATATTCTCGTTTCATCGATTTTTCCCTAATAACTACATGTTTATAGTAATTGGTAGGCTGTATGTCATGGTATTTATATTATACACCATCTACATGCATATGTACATATACACATACTACATACACACAAACATAAGCGAATACATACATATACAAACAAGCATAGGGTACATGAAGATAATAACTCGACTAAGATTGACAATTAAACATCTAATGGATACTCATATTGCAGAAAGTATGAAAATGTTGAATATCTAGCTGAAATGATAAGCAGTGTGATAAGATCAATAAGGCATCGCCATTAATAATTGAGAAACGTTACATTGAACAGATTGAACAAGTTGTTAGAACTTCATAGATTATTAT